AAAGTTTCAGGCTGTCTCGTCCTGAGCGGTCCAGGCGCACTCGGACACGCTTCTCGCAGTGGTCCACCGAGGTGCTGGCTTTTCAACACCTTCCCTCTGCAGTTAAAGCCTTTAAGGTTTAGTTTTCCAGTGGGGCTCTTTTCAAGTGCTGTAGAGTACCCTTGAATATTAGCATTGCAGAAGTTTAGGGTTGTTTGCATCCAGTTCCCCCTTCTATGTAATTTTAGTGACTATTAGTATCGTGACTTTGTTCTCTGTGTGAGGAGCAGTAAACCCGTGAAACCAGTTTCACTTTCAGGTTGTTGCTGGGAATGTTTTAAAGTGTAGCAATTTCTGTCCAGAGTGGCTTTAAAAAAAAGAAGTCCTACTACAAAGCATATGCTGATTATGGTAGAAACTATTGCATGTGAAAACGTAGTTCATTTGAAAATAACCATTTAAAATGTGGGTGGCAGCCCTTGTGATTGTTTTTTGCATCTAAAAGCACTTAAAGCTGCAGGGCAGTCTTCTGTATATTAAATGAAAATTAGTTTTCAGGTTTGAGAACCTGCATTTGCTTATTTGTTGCATTTGTTTGTAACAGTCCGGTTTTGGTGGTGAGGAAGGGCAATAAGAAGACCAATCTGGAACATCTAATGGGCACTAAAACAATATATTCCTTTAAGAAGGCAATCAGCTTGGTAGGTTAGCAGTCTTTGCTCGTTGTTTCTGCCTAGGGATTGTATTGAGGAAGCGTGCAATGTGAGCTATAGGGAAGCACAGCAGAGATGTGTGCTCTCCTAAGTGGTAGGTATTGTTTATGCCACAAGAATAGTTGAGGTGGTGCTGTTGAGAGCATGTAGGCTTGTGTGCAGGATTGTAGACTGAAAGTAAGAATTCTCTTCATTGTTGTTGCCTAAAGAACTAGATTGACAATGTATACAAAAGTTCCCTCTCCTTGGCTTTAATTTCTCTTTCCTTCTAAAATTTGATTTAATTTTGCAAGGCTTTTGATACCTTCTGCAAACTACTACTGCATACTTCATTTCTCAGGTAAGTCAGTACACTGGGCATGCGTGATGTTTTGCTGAATCTGCTCTGAGCACATGGAATGAATTCAGGTGTTGAAGACTTTAGTTTTGGGTTGGTGGTGTTTTTTGGGTTGTTTTTTTTTACATTTAATTAGTTTGCTTTCTTTGATTTTTAATGGAAACACAGTGTTTAAAGCAAAGTGTTTGCCTCCTCCAGACGCTATTGCAAAAGCTTTGTAGAAGCATAATGGAGTTTGTAAAAGATTTTCAGTTTTCTCAAAGCTCAGCTATTTCACATATTAATCATCACACCCCCCCTCCAAAATCGCCTGCTAATTTGATATATTTTTTTATGAAAGAGTCTCCCCTCTTGTGTGAAACCCCCTGGGGAAGAGGCTATGGACAAAACCATTGGCAAACAGCAGAAACTGGCTTCAGACAAAATGCTGTCATACATAGCAAATGAAGAGACAGGAAAACACATTTCTGTAATTTTCCAGCAGAGATTTTACTTGTAATAAGAGTGGAAGGCACATTTCCAGATAGAGGTGAGTTGCTTACATAAAAAAAGTAAGTTTGGTTGGTTCTGATTTCCAGGAATCCCGAGATGTTTAGCTTTGGGGTTTTTTTTTTTTGTTTGTTTGGTTTTTTTTTTGTTTGTTTGGTTTTAATGAAAGCTGAAAGTATGTTTTCTTTAAATTGGTACCATGTTTCAATTTTCCCTTTTTGTCATGCTAGGAGGCACAATTAGACTTCAGTTCCACAGGGGGCAAGCTAGGATTACTACAGTAAATTGTTTTGGCCAGCTTACATCCAGAAGAGTTGTAATAAATTAGTTCCATCGTCTCGTTTCCTTAATGCTGACATCCAGAGCTAAAACTAAGCTTGTAGCATAAAACATTCATGAACTTCTGAAAACAAAAGCTGTGCATCAGATTTAATACCGACTTGGAAATCCACAATGGGAAATGCAGGATCTGTGAAGGATATGTGATTAAAGTAAATCTGTCTTATCACAGACCCTTGGCTTGAAGGTTGTGGTGACCTCATTGTTGACCTTGGCCTCAGATACCATCTGTCCATACTTCTGTCATGTTTCTGAGGGTTAGAGCTGAATATAGAAAATGATGCCTATCTGTATAGGTGCTGGTAGGCCTTTGTTAAGCTACAGCTCTTGTACTCGAGCTCTAAATTTCTGCCTTTCTGAATTCAAGCACCAAATTAACTCAGTAATAACAACAAAAATGAGTTCAAGTGGTTTGAAACCTTTCTGTGTTTGTTGTGGATCATCTTCCTTTGGCCTGGATGCACTTACCTGGGGGCAGGAAATTTGCTTATTTAATAGTGGGGTTTTTTGTATAGCAAGTTTTCACCTTGAAAACACTTTCTCATAAATTTTGCCAATCCTTGAGCATAGTCTTCTTCAAGACATTAAAACAATTTCCTGAGTAAGTAATTGATGTCTAATTAAATGGTGTTTTGTCCGTGCATTGTGCACCCTTTATGACCAATTTTTTTATGCTGGGAGTAGCAGAGAATGTATGATACAATGTGCTGATCAAATTCAACTGTATCTGTATAAGAGTGTGTGTTAAGAGAGTGAGAAACTAGTTATTTAGAGTTGCCATCCTGCTTTTAGAGAAACCGGTTTCCTTAAGTATATTCTTTTATTGTAACATTTGCCTTGTGTAATGGTTAATTAAGAAGCTATCTTAAAAATACATTGTTGCCAAGTATTCACAGGGAGGAGAGGAAGAACAGGAAAATGGGAAGTTGGGCAGAATAAGAAAGCAGTTCTTAAAGGAGTTCCTTTCCCCACCCATCCCTTCAATAAAGAAAAGTATGCAAGAAAACCCCCAAGCAAATAGTCGTACAGGCTCGTTTGCCAGTCCTGCTTACCCGAGAGCTTTTATTGCTCTTTAGAAATCTTCCCTCTTGAGGAACTGGTAATCTTATTAGGAAAATAAGTCTTAGCCAGTGTGCCTGAAAGTTTGTCTTGTTCTTTTGTGTGTGTATTGCTTCTGCTTAACGTACTGGTAGACTCTCTGCTGGTGGGAGAGCTACTTAAGCTACCACTCTTTTGGTGTTAACCAGCTACAAGGTTCTATGTTTTATAGTAAGCCAGGCTCTTGCACAAACGCTGTTTTTTAGATAGGCAGGATGCTATTCCCTCATTGAGGGACACTAATCTGTTCAGTTTTGAGGAAATGATTTTAAGCGTGATTTTTAATGCTAAATCCAGCTCCTGAGAGTAGGAAACTTTTGTTCTCTTCTTTACCTATGTTGTGAAACATGGTTGTAATTGTTAGATTAAGTTACTACTGCTGTTAGTCTCTGGTAGCTTTTTTGAGTGAAGGGCTGCATTCTCATGGACAGTGTCTCAGAATTCGGTGGGAACACCTTGCAGGGTAATAACCTGTTCTTTCTGATGCCTCCGTTCTCAGAGGTCCCATAGCTACCATAGACAGACAAGGCACTGCTAGTCAGCTAGTAAGGCATGCTGCTGCTCGTCACTGCCAAGGACTCAGCAGGGATTGCCAGCTGCTGCTGTTGCTGAAGCAGCTGCTTTATCTCTGTTATGGTTTGGTTTGAGGCATATATTGTCCTTCTTATTTTGATCTTTGAGTTCAGAGCTGTACGCCAGCTTTTTTCCATTTCAGATGTTAGAGGTCCTATTCTTTTGCAAACTCCATCAAAGTTCTGCAGGAAGGGGTATCAGAGATTCCACGTGTTGTTCCCTTGTTTCTACAAATGCTGTGTTTCAACAGGGGTTAAAAAGAACCTTGGTGGTGTTTATTATCAAAATAGAGATGTTTTGATCTGCTCTAGCAAAATTCCAGCATAGATATTTGCATGTCACCTTCCCTGACTTCCACCTACTTCTGTGCACAGAGTACTGAGGATTTTTTTTTTTGTTGTTGAAAAAATGCATGTTTTCCAAGTCTCACAAAACATATTTTGAGTAGTTTCCCCTGAATTGCAATCCAGATTATAGCTGTAAATGAAGAATGGCCTCCATAAATGATCTGGGGAACAAGGTCATCTTCAGGCAAAAGTTTGAATAAAAATGTTGTATTGATTTCTTTTTCTTTTTTATCTTTTTTTTTTTTTAAGACAAAGCTTTGTATTGACTCACTCATAACTGGTATCGGGGACGCTTTGGCCAAATATAAAGTAAAGGGAAAAGTGATAGGAGACTTATTTTGGCTGTCGTTAAACACAACAAACTTGATGATTGCTAGTCTAGGAACTTGTATGATGCCGAAGAATTACTATCTTAGTAGGGGGTCCAACTTTCCATGTAGAAAATGAGAGTGTTTTCTTTCTCTTCTGCAGTTATTTTGGCAAAGAGGGCTTGGTAGTTATATTGAAGTTCTAAATACATGTGATGCAGAAGAAGAACACACGAAAAAGCCAACCACTTGTGGGCATCTGTGATTGTAATTGTGCACCATGTTTCCACTTGCTTACAGTAGCCCATCTTCCCTTCTTTGGCACTGGTCCTTCATCTTCCCTCCAGCTTCCTATTTCTTCTTTCACCTTTTCTTGCCCCAGGAGCAGTGCTGGCTACAGTGTTTCCCTGCTATAGCACTGGGAGTTGGAGGGCTTCACATCTCTTCCTTCTGAGCTGCTACAGCATTTCAGACCTCTGCCAGCAAAGCACTAGGCAAAGCAGAACTGGCATGTGGGTCCAGAGTTCTCAAATGGAAATGGGATGTCCCGGAACTGCCTTACACTGCAGCTTAAACTAAAGGGTTGAAGTCCTCCTTTATGTGTGATGAGGCCCTAATCTCTAGGGAAATCAAATCAGCTGATTTGTGGAGGATGAGTGAATAAGAAAGTACATTCTGGCTGTGGACTCTGAAACACAACTAGTACCCATCCGTAATTATAGAATCACAGGCTGGTTGGGTTTGAAGGGACCTTAAAGCTCATCCAGCTCCAGCCCCTGCCACGGGCAGGGACACCTTCCACTAGAGCAGGTTGCTCCAAGCCCCTGTGTCCAACCTGGCCTTGAACACTGCCAGGGATGGGGCAGCCACAGCTTCTCTGGGCACCCTGTGCCAGCGCCTCGGCACCCTCACAGGGAAGAGCTTCTGCCTCAGAGCTCATCTCAATCTCCCCTTTGGCAGGTTAAAGCCATTCCCCTCTGTACAGTCACTCCATGCCCTTGTAAAAGGCATCCTGGTGTTGTGGTATTGTGAACAGTTAATACAGTATTGCATTTTATTTCTTAGCAGAGACTGTGGTCAAGGGAAGTTAAATACTGTGAGACATTAAGGAGTTCATGAAATCGTGAGGATGATGACTAGTCTTCATGTTCTGATCTGTAAATCACTGGCACTGTTGGCAGAACACTGTATCCATGGCAACGTTGTGCTCAACTCCTGCCTTGATCTACACACACGTGCACACACAAACAAATAACTGATCTTGTCTCTTGATGGCTCACAGCATCAGTAGCAGGGCACCAGGATGACTCCTTGCCAGAGGAGGTCAGGACTAGGTTTTGTTCTGTCATCACTTAGCGTTTCCTCCGATGATTGCAACTGTTACCCTCACTACTTCAGGCAGATGTCAGTTCCTTCAAGGGATTGTCAAGTTATGCCCTATCCTAAGTTTTGATGGGTTTTGGTATCATTGACTTGTTGGCTGAGGAACATGTGCGTAATTAACATTACACTGACTTCTTTTGTTGTTTTGTTTCGGAGCTGCTTGAGCTGTGTTAAATTTGTTTACCTTATTGCATAACCTTTTGTGCTGACTGGGTTTTGTTTGTTTCTTCTTTTAATTGAATGCTACGATTGGATCAGTGTGGAAATCGGGTTTTCCCTTTTAACTATAGGGAAATCCTTCCATAATAGGATTTAGTCAAATTGCAAAGGAGAATGGAGAATATTATAATAAAAGGATAGCACGGCAGGAAAAGGCTCAGATGGGATCCAACAATCAAGTTGTTCAGGCGTATACTCTCTAGGAAAGGGATTTGGGGAATTATTGTGATGAAATCTTAAAGCTATGAATCCAAATGCAATTTAAGAAGGGAAAGTCCAATCAGCATTATTATTTTTCTGTCCACAATGGCTTTTAAATAAAATTAGTTCTTGGAAAAGGAAGTAGAAGCAAAGGCTTTCATAATATTTTTTTTTCTCTTTTCTTGGCTGTACTTCATTCTCCCCAGTTGTGTTTCTATTTTCTTTTGTCTTCTCTTTATCTGTTATTTCCTCTCAAACTTAGTAAATACTGTTGAGAAGAATGGAAATACTTTGAATTTTTTTGTTGTTTTAAGCTTAATGAGGGCGGCTCATGTAGCTTCAGCCTTGTTTCTATAGAGCTGTGCAAGATATTAATGAAGTGAAAATTCTCACTGTATTAAAATGCATGTATTGGATGTGCACCAGAAAAAAAATGTTTATACTTCAATGTCTTAATTTATACTTCAATGTCTTGTGATTTCCAGCAAAGACATTGTTTATGCTTCAGTGTCTTTGCTGGAAATTACTTCACTCTTATGCATTCTTCCAAACTGTGTGGTTTTATTTGACCTTAGTTTTTTTGGTTTTAGGAAAACTCCATTATGTAACAATTTTTTGTATGACAGTGGCAAATTAGTCACCTTTCTATCTTTCAGCATTTATACAGACTCTATTGCCATAGTAACCGAGCTCTTCATAGTTGTTAATGTATTAATCCTCAGAACATCCCCGTGAGGTAGAGAGGTATTCCTGACTCGCACGTGAGACACTGAATCACAGGGAAACCGAGTGATTTATGGATAACCCCACAAGCCGACGAGAGCGGAGATACACTCTCATTTCTGTTCCTGTGGTATAAGTGCCCTCTTGGTTGAACTGTCTTTTCTCTGCCCAGCTTTCTCAAATGAATGAATTTTAGTGAAATTGGCTGCAGCCATCTGGAATGGGCTCATTTGCATATAAGATCTGTGTGGCTGTCATTATTCAGCACATCAGGTTTAATGAACTCTGAAGATACCAAGGAAGGAAATGTATGGACTGCTACTGTGTATTCTCAGTGGATTGTGAGAGAGATTTTTCTTCCTTGGTATCACAGTACCAGCAATTGGCTGCTTGTAATATTAATTTGGTATACCAGTACTAATTTAATTGGCAATATTTGGCTCATATCTCTGTGCTCATAGAGCAGTTTGTTGTTACATCTACTTTTGAAGACTGACTGACCTTTGGAACTTTTTAAGCTTGACTTTTTGTAATATTTGCTTTCAGAATTCTCTGCTATTCTTGGGCTTTTTTTGTTTTTATTTTTAGACAGAACATACTTCACGTGCAGAAAGGAAAAGACGTGATTCATTCGGGATGTTTGACGGTTATGATAGTTGTAGTGAGGACACCAGCAGCAGCTCCAGTTCAGATGAGAGTGAAGAGGAGGTTGCTCCTTTGCCATCCAGTCTCCCGATTATAAAGAACAATGGACAGGTCTATACTTATCCAGATGGCAAATCTGGCATGGGTAAGTAGGTGGTGCATGAATACAAAGAGTTTGATATTTATGGTTTTTTAGCCTGTGCTGTGAGTTGTGAGGGTCCAATCCCAGATGTTGGTCCCAATTGAAAAGGGATCAAAACATCTGTTTGCTTGTGGAGGGGAGACATGGTTTGTTTTGGGATGGGGGGAATTGTTTGATTTTAGCTAAACTAAAATAAGGTAGATTTTGAAACCTGCTGTCAGGAATGAAACAGAATGGGAACATCCACCCTCCCATCAACTGTGTGTTTTGTATATATGCACATGCATGTGTATGTTCCTGTGTACATTGCTTTTACTCTTTGAGCTTTGTGGAAGATGTCACTGTGTTCTCTCTATGCTTGGGCATATATTCTCTCTACCTTTTGTTATATATCAATATATTGAAATATATTTTTTCCTATACTAGGAAGACTTCATTACTGCTACTGTATGAAGTCTGTTAGTGTATACCTGTACACTACCCACTGTGAATTTTAAAAGGGAAGACTATTTTTATCATTGGGAAAAATACTTTAGCCAAAATCATTAGTGATTAATAGAGCTCTCTCTGGGTAGAGTCTCTCTGGGTAGAGTATTGTCTCATTGGCTTAGTTGATCACAAACTCTTATTCATCATGGAACAACTCAGTGGGTGATGCTGTCAACCTCTGAAGCATATGATTCTAACTAGAAGAGAATATTGGTGGGCTGGGGTACTTTTGGTATGCTAATTTATGATGCAGAAAAGAGATCTGGTTTCTTTTTGGGTAGGAAGTATTAAATATTTAGAGGAAATTGAGATTGGCAGGCCCAGATTAAAAGCAGATGCTTGAGAACCATGGAAACACAGAAATCTGCTTTAGCTGGGTCATTCATTTTTACCAGTGGCAAAATTAACAGGGAGCAGAAAGGAGGCAGTATTTCACCAATGGTTCTTAGTGTTTCATTGACATCTGTGCTGGTGGTGTTATTTTAAGTCACGGTTTTCGTGCAATTCTCTTCACGTTTGAAGCCTCAGCAGCTGTTGGGTGGTGCCACCTACAGGACCTTCCTTATATCGTTTTTGTTCTGATTTTTTTTTACTGAGGTCTTCATTACACTCTTAACATTTGGCTTTTCCTCTCCTGATCAGCAACATGCGAGATGTGTGGAATGGTTGGTGTCCGTGACGCTTTTTACTCTAAAACGAAACGCTTCTGCAGTGTGTCGTGCTCTAGAAGCTATTCATCCAACTCCAAGAAGGCCAGCATTCTGGCCAGGCTTCAGGTAGCGGTACAGACACCATTTTCTTTATATATACTTATTACAGTCTGTGTTCATAAGATGTCTACATCTGTAAAACTTGCCGGCTGTTTTAAGATAAGTCAAGTTTCTTTACACCTTGAAATATTCATACAAGTGATTTTGTAAGCCAAAACTGTATTAGTAATGAACAAACTGCTTTCATAAGCAGAGCAAATTACAGGGAATACTGACTCCTTATTTCATTTCTGCTGCAGTGGCCCTGCTGCAAGAAAAAGATCAGGAAAAATCATCAGTCTGCATATGTAGTGACTTGAAATTCCATGCATGTCATACCCGAGATACTCTCTGGCTTTAGAGAGTGTGAAGACTTACTCAGCATTACTGTGGTTTGGTTTTGAGGGTGCTCTCAACTATATAGATTTGCAAAATGGGGTCTCTTCTGTTCACCTACAATATTAATCAAGTAATCATGAAGGTGTATTTGTAACATTGCAGAAAAGAGAGAGAAATGTCAAAAAATACCATTATGTCCAATCTCAATTTTATTGTAACAAATGCCAAGTATTTGCATAGGTATAAATTAGATGAAGAGTTCTTCCTTTTGACCTACTTTTAAAAGATATCTTTTTTTCAGGTAAGCAACAATGAATCTATAATGCTGCTCAAGTTGGAATACTAGTACAAAAGGCACCTTTTGGACATTCTTTGCTGCTGGTTTTTAAACTTACTCATTGTTATATGTAATTTTGTGATACTTAGTCAAGTTCCATTCTGTGTTGTTCTAATTCGAGTTAAATCTACCAGAGATATGCTACAGACCTATGGAAATTTCCTGATGGGAGTTTGAAAAGACTTTATTTACTTAGCTTTTTTTGTTTTAGGGTAAACCTCCAACAAAGAAGGCTAAAGTTCTACAGAAACAACCTTTAGTGGCTAAATTAGCAGCATATGCTCAGTACCAAGCAACTTTACAAAACCAGGCAAAGACTAAAGCAGGTAATGGCATATGAACAGAGCTGAAACAAATTCTTGGTAATGCAAGATTCATTAGCAGCTTCCTAAATAAAATAACTTTCTCTTAGCAGCTGTCCCTGTGGAAGGTTTCAGCTGGGGTAACTACATCAATAGCAATAGCTTTACAGCAGCTCCTGTTACCTGTTTTAAACATGTAAGTATTTTTCAATATATGCTATCTTTTTCTGTGTGTGCATGAGAGAGAGAGAGTCCATGTTAGTTCTTTAATCTTTGCAAAATACTCATATCCAAATATGTTTCATGGTCTTGGACTATGAACCTTGTAAACCGTGTTAGTGTGACTACTTTTGATTTTGATCTGTCCTTTAAAACCATTCTGAACACTGTCAGTTACTCTTATGATGCTGCCATAATCAAACATAAAAGGAGGATTCTTAAACACGTGTGAAGTTCTTCTTCTCACATTCAAGGTGCAAAATCATCAAATGCACTATAGAGTAACAAACCAATTCATGCTGTGTTAGAAAAAGTTACAAAAGGTTGCGTCAGGCTTGCTTCGTTACATTAAACTGATCTTTTGGTTACATATTTGGGTTTGAGATGTGTTTTTGTTCTTTCTCAGCTTAGTCAGAGTCTCCCTGCCAGTCGTACTGCCAGGTAGTGTAGAAATAGAGGTAAAGGAAGGCTTTTTATTAACCTGAAATTAGAGGTTGGTTTTCTTTGATTTAGAGTTAGAAAAATGCCAAAGAAAGAGTTCTCAGGTATTACAGAATGTAATTAGGGATGAAGAAAATACTTAGCAGCATCTGTCCTTAATGTGCTTATTAAATTCCAGTTATTAGATCTGTTTAAACATTGTTGGTACTTTCTGTTTCTTAAGTAAAGACTTTCTGACATAAAGTGTTTTCTCACATACTTTTTATTTGGGAAGTTGAAGTGTTCATCTTACAAGAGTTTTATTTTGCTCAAAATGATCTGATGAAAACTGCAATCAAAACAAACATTTTGTTTCATGGAACTTTTCCATAAGGGTGAAAAGAGAGGCACATTTTCTATCCAGTTCTGGAATTCATGCTGAGCCCTGTCAAGCCATAAATCAGTAGGGGTTGAGGGCTTGTGGCAGTTGGCTCTTTCTGAATAGCACCATTTATGCTCAGAGGCCTTCACCATTGCCCAGGACAGAGCCTTGCATTAGCAGAGCTTCATGAACTTGTATCAAGTTCCATGTGCTAAAGTAAGGTCGTTTGTACTTTGCTTCCACCATTATGTACATGCTGTAATGACTGATTTCATAAGTATCAAAAGATACCACATTTGGTAATGTGGGCTGTGCTGTTACAACAAATTCTTCGTGATGTACGGCATCCTTAATTAGGATACAGCTGCAATAGTTTGGTCACTTGTAATATGGACCATTTTTCTCTTTCTTTCTTACTACTTCTTTTACCAAGTCAGATGTTACACCAGTAATGAGAGCAGATACAATACTGATGTTCCCATTTTACCTTGGAAATTTTCACAAGCTACATGGCAATAGTGCCACTAAGCCTGAATGTCGTTTCTTTTCTGTCCCTGTTTTCCTTTTTAATGCAAGTAAAATGCGACTCCTGCAGACTCCTTAGGAGATTTCTGCATCTTTGGTGGGCATCAGTTAGTATTTAAGGGGTTATTTGCATTTAGTTTTACTGAAATTATTTCTTTGAAAAAAAACACTATTTAAACCAGTCGGAATCTGAAAAGACATTAGTAATCTCTTGTTAGATCCTTCTCTCTCCCCCATTCTCCACTGATAATTAAAAGATACAATACTCTTTTTGTCTGTCTGGAAAGATCGTCCATGTGTTTTTTGTGAACTGTGTAACTTTGATTCATAAAAGCTTGTCCTGATGTTTGTTACTTTTGTGGATTCCGTGCACATGTTGTATTTGTCCATGAGATTGAATATAGAAACTTACTCTGTTCAGAACAAAAGTTTTTTGAGTTGACAGGAAAAATCTCAACATATCTACACTTAAATTAGTTACTAGCTAAAATGCATACCTGGTTATACTGAGTGTATCTGTATGGATATTTTATAGGGAACATTGAGATCAATATTAAAGAAAAGGGAATTATGAAATGTGGGATTTGGGTCATTGATATATATATATTTTTTAATTATTTTTTTCTTAATGACCTGACATACCAATATTTCAGATCTGATGCAATTTTCCCAGATCAGTTCTTTTTTTTGCCTGGGGAGTTATTTGCTCTTCAGTTTAAAACAGTTACATTTTAGAATTAACACATTTGAATCTTGAAGTTCTCTTTCTCTGTATGAGAGAATTTCAAAGTCTTTTGATGTGTTTAGTGTGGTTTTTGTACTTCCCCATTACTTTCATCCCAGGCTCAGTGCTGAGTAACACTAGTGAAATTCACTAGCAGTAGTACAATTATGGCCCTGAATAGTTTGGTAAACTGAAGTAGAGAAGCTGTCTTGGTTTATGTCATACAGGAAGCCTGTGACAAAGCCAGAACTACAGTCTGTGCACCTTCTGCCTTTTATTTTCTTTTTTTATTGTGTGAATTGCCTTAATCAGACACACAACAGTAGCTGATACAAGGAGGAAAACTCCTTCATTTAATGTTTCTAATATTGTGTTATAGCTTAGTCACATACAGTGTGCTCATTGCTAGCCTCCATTCCAATTTCGCTTACTTCTAAACAGTTTCTGCTTTTTTCTATATTTGCTTTTATTAGCTCAAACCATTCCTAGAACAAAAGCAAATTTAGTGCTTTGAGTCATTTTTCATTATTACTTAATGCCCAATAAATAGTCTTTTTTCTTTTCCACTCTGTTTCTAGTGAGATGCACGTTTCCTGAACTTAAGACTTTTTCAATCTTTCTTCCCGTTGAATGTTATTCTGAGCTGAAATACTTTCATTCTCACGGTTTCTTTGTTATAAAAATAAATAAATAAATGCATGTTTTGCTCTAAGGGAGCTTTTCCCAGGATTTTACACTAGGTGGCAGTGCTTTGCTTTCAACTTTTCCTTTTAAACATTTTGCACGTTGTCTTTTCCGGCATTGCCCTTTGTTGGGGTTCTGTTCACACACAGGGTTTCACCGTAGTATCCTTACACTTCAGGAGTTGGTTGCATCATTTTGCCATTAAAATCCTAATTGAAGTTCAAGTCTGAAATCATGTCAGTGTTGGCGCCCTCCAAAACTTTCAGAAGCCACTTATTTAACCCCCAAAGTATTTGTTCAGATGGGCACATGGAGATATGTAGCCTTTAGGCACTCCTATCAAACAGGACCTTCCTGATTGCAACTTACCTTGCAGAGAAGGCAGCTGCCACTCACAGATAAACCCTCCCAGTTCATCTCCCGGAGCAGGAATTAAGGAACCAGATTTTCCTTGTTTGGGAGTGACATGAAGTGGATCTCTTCGTCACGAGTCTGAAAGGTAAATTTGTTCTTACCTGTAAATTATGGTTCTGCTAGTTCGCACTATGCCAATCCAGACTTCAGAGTTGCCCTTCCAGCCAGCACTTAAACAGTGCTTTTTGAGTTTTTCAAAGCCCTGTGCAGACATTGATTGATTAATTAGATGAAGACAGAGAATACATGAAGGAAGATGGCTGTTACAGCCCTGGTTGATCCAGTCTTCCTCCCTTAAGAATATTCACAATGAGTGAAAAAGACAAAGGTGGAGCAGTATACTAAGTATACTGTAAACCACCAGTTTAGGACAGTGATGTAATCTGGCACTTCAGTAGTGATGCTACACAGGATGACTTCCTTCTCCCAAAGAGTGAGCCATATGGACTGGTGTAGGAGAACTAGCAGAACCAATATTTTCACAGACAAGGACAAATTTAACTTTCTGCTATTTCCCTCTATACCAATCCACATTCTAGAAATAAAGATCTGTGCTGTTTCCATTACCAGTTGATGTGAGAAGTGTTTCCGTATACTTTTCTCTCTGAATCAGCTGAATAGATGAACAGGCAGTAAAATATATTTCAGTGAAGTTCAGCTGGATTATGAAATTATTCAGCACTGCTATTTTTAATTGTTTGGCCTCATTTGTATCTCTATACAAGGCAACAAGATTTACTAAAATATGCACTTTGAAAAGTTTATTTCCCCAATTTAATTCAAAAATCTACACATCTCAATTTAGAGATGATAGTGAATATGTGGTAGGACTTGATTAAGAAGCTGTATCTGCAGATTCTGTGTGCGAAAATAAGCCATCATCTTTGGAGCTGGTTTTTTCCTCTCTGCCAGATGGCAGAAAAGAGCTCTGCAGTCTAGACTGGTGTAGATGGGACATAGCAGAACATGAAGAGACCAGGCTTCAAGAATAAGAAACTGGCATACTTGTAATAACTTATTTTTGCTTTAATAGTTAAAATTAGCTGTTTATTTGCATGCCTAGCCTCAAATATTTCTACTAGTGGAGGGTATCCCTTTTTAAGCTAAGTTTAGCTTTTAGTGCTGCTGGTTGGCCTTTGCTGATTACCAGCAAAATTCCAGTACTGTGATTTCCAGTCATTCAGGATTACTGCAAGTTTTACTTGGAGCTCTCAGCCAAAACTTTATGAAGTTGGAGGCTATTCCCACTGAGCAGTGAAATTCTCTGTGTTTGTGAAGAGCTTTGTAAATAAAGACAGCCTTAGAACACTGTCTGCCCACTATGGTGCAGAACCAGAGGATCCCTTCAGTTGTCCCTGTGATACCTGAATATTCTCTGAACTGATAAGAATTTATTTTTCTCAGAACACCTTAGAATTTACATGACTGTTGTTCTGAAATACCCCAACTCTGAGTATTTCCCTTCTTGGTGGTCTCAAGTTTAATTGTAGACTGCATCATTTTTTGTTTTGTTACCAATGTAACTTCAGTTGAGTTACTTTTAAGGTTCTTCAGCGCTGTGCATTTCTGATATCTCTACAGTACCATCCTTGACTATCTTTTCATGATACTCAGTTCAACAAAACTATCTTCTCGAGATAGCAAACTGAATGCAATTTATCTCCAGTTTCCATAAATCCTTGGTAGTTTATCAGGCATGTATTCCATTTTGTTACTAACATGTTAGCCTGAGCCTTCAGGACAGTGTGTGAGGAATCTAGCTGAGCATTTTCTTCTGGCATTCATCACAAAGGTGCCACTCATAAGTGCCTTCTGTTCTTTTGCTTACTTGATGGAATGATCACTGTTCCTCTGAAAGGATGTGAGCCAGTGAGTGATGAACCCTACCATAAGAAGACATCGGGATAGAGTCAAAAAATAACTGTTAGGCATTTTTTCAGGAACATTTCTGATCTATGAAATTTAAAGGTTTCAATGTCTGTGGTACAGGTATAAATTTAAAGTGCCATAGTTTTGTTGCAAATAGAATTGCAGAGGAATTACACCATTCTCATTACAAGCTGTAGGTTGCATCTAGTTGAAACAGTAAAGCTGACCTGTGAGTACATGCAATTTGTATTTGTGCTTTCCAGGTTTTTAGATTTGAAATCCTATAGTTTTTCCAGGAAATACACAGTGATAATTGTCTACAATGACAATACCACACATAAGCTTCAAATCAAAACCAAACTAAGTTTTCATAGAAAGACTGTTTTCTAAACATATGCTTATGTCTTACTGTGTATTTTGATTGTTTTGTCTTAAGTCACTTACAAAACACTGATATAACAACAAATTAATTCTTTTCATGTGGTGAACTGGTGACTTTTTTCCCCCCACTACCTTAAATGATAGGCACCTATGGGGACATGCTGGGGTGATATCTCAGAAGGAGTTCGGGTGGAGGTTCCAAACACAGACTGCAGCCTACCTACCAAAGTCTTCTGGATAGCTGGAATTGTAAAATTGGCAGGTAAGTTTATTTTAGTTGAAATGATTTAGTCAGTGGTCGCCTGGTTAGTTTAATGTTGACACTGGTTAGGTTGTCAGAGCTGCATGAATAGGTTATATGGTTTAGCACTATTCACTGTGTTATGTACTGTTTTACAGGGGCTTCAGTGATGCTTGAGAATGCCTGGGGCTTTTTGTCGTGTTTTGGGTTGGTTTTATATTGTGTCAGAGTACATTAAGAGCAGTGCAGAATGAGGATATAGTAGATTGTATAAGAGCAAGTAACTTTTCTTGGTTAGAAGTTAAAGATTACGCAGCTAAGATACGAAAAAGCATATACTGTGGGTAATTGCTTTTGTCCTTCTACATATAACTTCTAAAGGTTTATAATTCAAAATTTTTGATTAAAATTTGATTTACATGGTGGCATGTGCACACTTATTGAAACTATCCATTCTGTGCATCAATACCATGCAGAAAAGTGCTATAAGAATAACATTCTATAAAAAGTCATAGTCTAGGAAGTCTTGTGTGCTATACATTAAGATTGGTAAGGAAATACTAATGTGTATTTCTATAATCTTGTTCAGTTTTTATCTGCTTTACATGGGATTGCTTTTTTTCAGGCTACAATGCGCTGCTAAGATATGAAGGCTTTGAAAATGATTCAAGTCTTGACTTCTGGTGCAACGTTTGTGGTTCTGACATCCACCCAGTTGGTTGGTGTGCAACCAGTGGGAAGCCCCTAGTCCCTCCTCGAAGTATGTAAATAGTAGCCTTACCCATTGATATCAGAGTCTTGTTTTATTAAAGTAGATTTGCTTATGGTCCAGATACCAAAGTATTTTTTTACCATAGCAACTCTATCAACAGTTATGAATAAATCATTTTATCTTTTGGAGAAATAAGGACTTGACTGATGCTGAGAGTGTTTCTTGGAGTAGCCCATCTGATGTGACTTAGAGCTTTTAAGATGCAGGTGGAAGCAGTTAGCTGATCAGTGATGTGAACAAGCACTGATTTTATTTATATTTAGTCATTACATTCTTTGCCCTGATGTACCCATAAACTTAGTCTTGGGTAGCATTCATTCTCTAAAGAGTTTTTTGTCATTATTGTCATCCAGGCTTTTTAACAGTCATCTGGGATTTCTTCTTTACATATTCCAGCCTCTAATATTGTCTCTAATGGACACAATTAAAAATCAGTGGCTTATTTTTTCCCCTTCATTTGCAACAGCCATCCAACACAAATACACAAACTGGAAAGCTTTTCTAGTGAAACGACTTACTGGTGCCAAAACACTTCCTCCTGACTTTTCTCAGAAGGTAAGGCTGATGCAATATCAATGATGTACTGTAACCAAAATTGCAGCACAATGTGAAGAACTGAAGTACCTTTCAATGGCACATTAGCTCCTTTTGATACAGTAGTTTCTTCCCTTAAATACAGTTTTCCTTGTAATCTCTTTTCTCCATTTATGTCCACACTTGTCAGTATGTGTTTGGAAAACTGTTTCCTCTGGCAGAAAATAATTTTCTTTTGAAATTTGTTAGTTTGTTTTAAGTTTTAAACACCCCAATTTAAAAATAAATGAATAAACCCCAAACCAAAAGTGCCAGTCAGCTACCCTGTGATACATTAAACAAAATTAAAACTAATTTTTCTAATTCAAGAATGGGTTTTATCATGTACTATTTCAAGAAACTGAACAAAATGTGTTAATATATCACATACCTAGGTACAATAAAGGACATGCTTTTAAATGTTAATCTGTTTCATCTGCTCTGGACTCATTTTTTTTGCTGTCTATAAGTCGTGTCTCAAGTGTGGAAGCTGCCTGTATATAGTGTGCTGTAAGTTTACTTACTAATATGAGATATTATATAGCTTTCAGTGGGAATATTGTTGTCTTATACTGCATCTAATATTAAAGAAAGAAGAAAAAGGAACACATCTGCAGTTGTTCATTTCTATTTAAAAATTGGCTATGTTGGAAGCCAAATTAAATTGGCAAGATCTCAACACTTGGAGTTAACAATGGAAGTGGCAAGTGACAAATACTTACTTTTAAACAGAATGTGTGGTCTCAAGGCATGCTAACATCTCTTTCCATTCTTTTCCTTTCTTTTTGATATATTATCAAGAAACATGTTTGTGAGTGGCCAGTTTTAATTATGTTGAAGGTTTGTTTTCCATGCCTTTTATAATAAAGTATTTTAATTCTATTTTTAAAGTAAAGGTGTTTTGCATGGATGAAAAAGAAAAACAATCTTGGGAGTTTGTTTGTTAAAATCATTTCTCAATGTGATTTTATCCATTGTTCACAACTGAACAAACTTTCATTAGATCACTGGAAGATTCCTGTAACCCATGTGCGAACTCTTATTAGAGGCTGTACTTGATACTATTAGAGCATTGTAGGATCTGTTCTTCACTTTTCTGAAACATTTAATTTTCCCCCATGAACAGGGAAATACAAGAGAAATCATTTGTGTCGGTTTTGCAGGTTGATTAACAAGTACTTGAATTAAATGAGAAGCACATTGATACCAGCTTTAATAGCAGAAGACAGATGACTAAAGAAAACCACAGTATATTCTTACTGAATGGCTTTTTTTTCTATTACTTTAAGGTATCTGAGAGTATGCAGTATCCCTTCAAAACTTCCATGAGAGTAGAAGTTGTTGACAAAACACACCTTTGTCGAACAAGGGTAGCAGTTGTAGAATGTGTCATTGGAGGACGATTAAGATTGGTGAATGAAGAAAGTGATGACAAAACTGATGACTTCTGGTGCCATATGTACAGCCCACTCATTCATCACATTGGTTGGTCTCGAAGTATAGGACACAGATTTAAAAGATCTGGTAAGCTTGTTGTAGTTTAGAGGTGTCTTTGTGGGTAGTATTGGCTTGGAGAAGTCTGATTTAAGCAGTTCTGTCACTTTACGCAATTAATAAAACTAGCTTGAATAATGATCTTTAAAAATTTATAGTGTGGTCCAGGGGGTTTAACAATTATATTACATTTGGGAGTTTTAAGTTACAGATATAAATGGTGTATTTTGCAGCATTGGAAAAAACAAATTAATTTTAGGTTGCTCTGTGGTATGTCGATGGGATGCAGCAATAAACAGTAGTTAACAAACTGTCAATGCAGGAAAACCTTGAACTGCATTATTCAAGCATGGTAAACCTCATTTTTCATGATGATGTCTGGAATTACAGAGTCCTGCTCCACAAACTCCTTATTTCTTCACATCTCTCATGTACAGTGCAACATGGATAACGTCTGTCTTTTAATATTTCTCTGCTCCATTGAGCTTGTGTCTCTTGTCAGAGCAGGATTCATGTAAAACATGCAGAAGGCATCCCTTGAGGAACATCTTCAGTTTTCCCAGCGCTTAAACTTTGACTGAAACCATTTAGATACAAGAGTGGTTAAAGAAATCAAGAGCAGTGCTACTTCCCAGGAATGGTGTCTTTAACAGAGTTCCAGGGGTTGCCCTTGGAAAGTAGTATTCAAGGGTTGGCTAAACCCAGCTATGTATAAAAAGATTTACTTTCTTGTCATAACAGTGCAACGTAGTTGCCAATTTCTTGCAAAAGCTTCTGTGTACGTTAGAATCAATTCTGTGACATAATCAAGTGCCTTGTAAATACTGGATATTTGTTTTTTTCCATAAATGTGATGGTGTTGTAGAGGTATTTCAGGAAGAAGTCAATAAGGAAAAGCTGGATTACGGCCTCCAGAATTTTGTGGTAGTCCTGTTATAAACTGTGGGCCTCCCACACTAATGATTGCCCAGTATAAGTTAACATACTCAGAAAAACATACTGTCTGCTATTAACAAAACTTCTGAATAGAATCTACTATTATTCCTTGTAGATATTACAAAGAAACAGGATGGACATTTTGATGCACCCCCACATTTATTTATGAAGGTGAGTTTGCTGGCAAGAACACTGTTTTCTCAGAGTTGATTGAGGACTTAAGTCCAGCCCACCATGAGCATTACTTCTTTTATTCAAGCACTTGCCTAATTTGGCCTCCTTAACATAAGCAGAGATGATACAGCAGGTATTTCCATCTGTTACTTTGGCAGTGTGGGATTACATTTTGTTCCAAGCTTATTAGAATCTTAGCTTCTGGTGCTGTTATCTGATTCTTTAGGTGAAAGAGGTTGACGCAGCAGGAGAATGGTTTAAAGAAGGGATGAAATTGGAAGCTATAGACCCCTTAAACCTTTCAGCAATATGTGTGGCAACGATTAGAAAGGTAAGAAAACAAACGTGTTTTGGGAAGGTAGATAGGAATCCTTTATTTACTTAACTTTATTCAGGCTTGAAACGAAAGAACTCAAAGCCAAAATAAATATGCAGTTCATTCACACAGTGAATGTTTATGGAATGTGTCCAGTTATTGTTTATATACAACTACTATGAAAAAGACAATAACTCAGGTAAATTTTTGTTTTGACTTTAAACCCTAGAAATTCAGCCTTTCCTTTAATTAGAACGTTTGTGAGTTTAGCTCTGCTAATTCCAAGTGTTTTGCAACTGAAACCTCATCTCGCTTACTTGAAGAAGCCTGTGAAGACATTTTAAGGATGTACTTCTTTCCTAGCTTGATTGAAAGGGAGCTCATCCATGTGAAATCTATTTTAAAAGAGAAAGAAAATGTGAGAAGTAGCTTAGCAGAATTGTATAACCTTACCAGTGAGGAGAGGGGTTATGATTTTGAGTCTTTTGTCTCATTAATGGTGTGCAGAATATCTTTGCAAGCTAAAGAGTAGACTGAATTATAAAGCTTTAGAAGTAGAACTGATGTTCATGACTAGAGACCAGGAAAAGGAAATGGTCATCTCATAACTTTGCTGTTAACAAAGGTACATCTGACAATAGTGCACCCGGTCTTGGAGACAGGTATGAATTGGGATTTTTTGTTTTGTTACAATTGAATGTCCTTCTAAGTGTGCTTCCATTATTATTGAGTTACTTTTCACTCTTTTGAAACATGGCATGCTTTCTTTCTAGCCTTATCACAGAGTTCAAGGTATTTAATGTAAAATTTTGTTTTTCTTCACAAAGGTTTTAGCAGATGGCTATCTTATGATTGGGATTGATGGCTCAGAAGCAGCAGATGGGTCTGATTGGTTTTGTTACCATGCCACTTCCCCTTCTATTTTCCCTGTTGGTTTCTGTGAAATTAACATGATTGAACTAACTCCACCCAGAGGTACATATAGCATTCTGACCACATTTTATTTTGAATATTTTTCAGTGATATTGTATGTGCCATATGCTTTGTTTCTTAACTCAGTCTACAAAATTCATGTCACTTCTTAGGACTTTCTCAAGTCTGAAACAGATACAACAGTGTAACTTCAAAGTAATCTAAAACAGAGATGACAAATTTCCAATTTAGGAAAAGTTAAATTGAACATTGATTCTCTGGCTAAAATAATTTGCTTTTACTGTCAGAAACTGAGGATAGCCACTAGCTGAATAGTAGATCCATTAAGTGAATGGGAAGTATGCTTGTCACTGAAAGGTCTGTTCAGAATATGGCATTGCTTGGGAAGTCCTGGCCGTCAAAAGGATTAAGAAGCATTGTAAAGAATCTCAGGCTTAGGCTAATTCACAACAATACCAGTCAATTTTCTAAGGAATATGCACAAACTTGAGCTTTGAGGAAGTAGCCCTGAGAGCTGTATGCTGCATAATCCCTTCTGTGAGAGAAAGCTGTCTGTCCACTAGCACATATGCCTACAGAAAACTGTATTGCCTTCATTCTTCCATTTTATTGTCTTGGTCTAGTGATTTATAAAGGATTGTTACTAGCTGTGTAACAGCAGATAATAATGGTTTTGTATGGATTTTTTTTTTTCTCCATTCTCATTCTTGCAGGCTTCTACTTCAAAGACAGTGTAATGCAACGTGCAGAAAATAATTTCATATCATTTTCATTATTGCACACTAATGAATCTGTCATCGCTGAGTCTGTGGAAGGTGCAGTTGCACAGATTTACTGCTAGTTTTCAGTCAGCTCATTTAGTGAATTTATTGCCTAGAAATTCATGGGCATAATCAGCCCTAAAAAATAGGTGGTACAAGAGTCTCTTGAAATAAAGAAAGGTTTTGTGGGAGGAAAAAGCATGCATATCAATACCTATCAGTCAATTTAGAAATAGATACATTAAATTAATGATACAGAATAGGAAAGAATCCTCCCTTCTGTGATAAAACTTGTCCTCATTACTCTGCGAACACTACTTACACAATAGAATGTGCATTTTGTTAGCACATTTATGATACTTCTGTGTTTCTTGTATCATGGCAACCTCATCCTTTCTCTACCTGTGTATTTTTCCTTGTATTGCAGTTTTCCGTAGTGGTTCTGTATCAGCCACTGAGCAGTGATTAAAAATTGCACATGCAATAATTTAGAAGTCCTTTGAAAGAGGAATTAACAGGAGTAAAATACAGCACATAATGCACATTAACATATTTAACAGGATCACAGTAATCAAAGCTTCTTAGCTCTTGCAAGAAGTTTATTTTGCTTTCCAAGTTATGGGCTTGAAAATGAACAGTTTCTGAATTCTGACAACTCCAACAAGGACCACGTGCACATGTCTGTAATCTGTGTGTGGTGAGAAGTTAAAGGACTTGCATACAAATATATTGATCTAGCCAGGAGCTATGCATTAACAGGAAAGCTTTAATACACAGAACTGATACATTATTGCCCTTAATAATTTTTAGTTATCCAACTACATCTGTTCATGCAAATATTACATACCTATTGTGAACAGTTTTCCAAATTGTATGTAGCAATGCAGATAAGACAAATCACTGTGAAATCATTGGACTTTATAAACTCATTCCTTCCAAACATCTTCATCTCTTGCTGGAATCAGTAGAAGATGCTTAGACACTTTCAAGCATAGGATTGCATTTTGGGCTACCTGCTGAGTCTAGTCCTGCAGAACTGAGCTATGATCCAATGGGAGCTCTCTACCCCCCTTAGATGAGATCCAACCGTTTCCTGTAGCTCCCCACGCCATGCGCATTACACTCAATCTGTTCAGGATGTCCAGCACTGCATGTGACTACAGAGAAATCTTTCAAGCTGCTATTGCTCCAGCTACAGTTTGAGTATTGTTGGTTTAAGCAGTTGTAGAAGTTGCCCAAAGTAAAAAAATAAGTCCTGCATATTTTATGCGTATTCAGTAGGCAAACAAAACCTGAAGATATTTGGGAGATTATTCTTTATAATAGCTTTTAATTTTAAAAGGAAAAGATCCTGTAATTTTCCATCTTATGGCTGGGTTTACCCTTATTTTAAAGTATCCATGCTTGTTCTTACCACTCTGTTCCTAATAGTTCAAGTGTTTAAATAGTGGAGCTCTTTCCCCACAGGAAAGACACTGGATGTGCTTAATTTCATGATCTGTTCTGGGTCATTTGTGTGGGGTATTATAGAGATCAAGGATCTACGTGGACAGAAAGCTTCAAGTATGAATGATTAATCGTAACATTAAATGACACTTTCCATGTTATCTAGAGACTCATTCATCTTGTTTGTTGCAAATGAGCTATGTCCAGGTGACTGTCTTGTCCCTTAGACCAAAGCTCAGAGGGTGGAATTTTCTGATGTTAATGTTTTGCTTCTTTGTTGTCTTTTTTAGCCATAACACAGTGCCAATAGGCTATTTTTGTTGTTGTTCCTATGCATGAAGTTTGCAGTTGATGTATGTAAATGTTGTTTTAAATTCACAGGTTATGCAAAACTCCCTTTTAAATGGTTTGACTACCTCAGGGAAACTGACTCAATAGCAGCACCTGTAAAGCTCTTCAACAAGGTAATACACATTATACATCTTTAAAGGGAATTAGCGTTTTCTTTACATTTCTATCTGTGTAGTCAGTGGGATTCACCCATTTCATTAAATGCAATTTTGAAAAACTAAGGCAACAGAGACTTTCAGAAATAAGAACTATTTGAATATATTAAGCTTCACTATTTCTAAAATGTGAAATA